TAAGTCAAATTCTAACAAAATCTAAACAAATTATAAATTACAAATTACTAACATGGATTACTGCAATATCTAAGTAAAAAATATTACAGTGACATAAATAGCATTTAAAAATATCAAAGATATGCACGTTTAAGTCCTAAAATGAAAAAAATACATTAACAACATGCTACAGTAACATTTTCATACTATCTAATAATCAGATAATTAAAAACAAAAAAAAATGATTTTTTTTTGTGTCAGTTGAAAGTTCCATGTACAATTTTGGTTTCTTAGCTATAAAATCCACTTTTTTAGTCTAAGTTCCTCACTTCTCTTAATATGGTCTCTTTTTTTCTCAAGTTTTGTATAGATTTCTATGGGTTTTTAAGGCGTTTAATTTATGGGCATCTCAAAATTTCAAGTTTTCTCCACAATTGGATATTTGAAGGTTTTTAATTCCCTTTTCTTATCTGGGTATTTTCAAAAATTTACGAAAATCAGAAAATTAATCAGATTAAAAGTTCAGATCTGAAAAAATTAATCAAAAAAAAAAAAAAATCAAATTACCACTAGTGATCAGGACATCTTCATACTATTAAAAGTTCAGATCAACTAAAACATTTATGTTGCTCTAAAATCTTAAAAAATTAATCAAATACAAAGCTCAGATCTGAATAGTGTCGGTAAAGATCAGACCCCCTCACACAATTTCTCAGAAAATTGCTGTAAATTACATTAATAATTCGAAAATTAAAAAAAATAAATTTTACCTTGATTTTGGAAGCAACGACGTCAGCAAAGATTAGATTTGAATAGCGTCGGCAAAGATTAGACCCCCGTCCCCTAATTTCTTCGAATACAGGGACAAAGAAGGCTGCAGGAGTTTCTGGCGAGAGGAGGGCAATGATGTAACTATAGCTCACTAAAGAAATCAACGAGGAAGAAAAAATCCGACGTGGCTAGGCTTTTCGTCGATTTCACTTAGTTGGGGAAGGAATCAGGGGAGAGGAAAAAAACCTAGCTGGCAGCGATTTAGGCTTCGGTTTTCCTCTTCAGCCCTAGCGAAACAAAGTTGAGAAAAAAATCCACGGAAATGAAATAGCCAACGTGGAGGTGAAAAAACCGACGTGGAGACGAAAAAAAGTTTTCCACGGGGTTTTAAAGCGAACCAAATAGCCCCAAGTCCAACTAATCCCATCTCCTTAAAAAGCAATCCCTAAGTCTCTCTCCTTGATATCATGTCATGTAAGGGATAAGTCTCTCTCCTTGATATCATGTCATGTAAGGGAGGTAAAAAAAAAAGAATCAGAGAGACCAAAGTCTCTGCAACTAGAGAGGAGAGAGGAGATTGAGTTAAAGGTTTTTCATCGTTTGGTCAAAAATTAAGGCGAGCGTTCTTCGAAAACTTATTTTTCTAAAGTTTTTCCTTATTTTGATTCTATGTTATAGATTATCTTTTTTGATTGTGCCTTTGGCCAATGTTTTAAATATCGGTTATCGAAAATATATCGGATGACTAAAATTCATATCGGATCCTAGTTATCGGGATATATCGGGGATAAGTAGTAAAAATCGGAGTGTTACATCGGATGGTGAGCATACATAATATAGTCTTAAAAAGTAATCTAAGCACATTTAATGAAACATAAACATACTAATATGTAAATAACACATGTTTAGGATCATTTACCAATTGTTTTTGTTTAGTGGAAGCGAAATAGAATAGGATAATATTGTTTTTGTTTAGTGTATGCGAGTCGAATATGGAAAAAGAGGGTTTTTTTGTCTCCAAACGTGAACCAGTTCACTTAGAATGTAAATTGTAGAAAATCGGGTGATTTTAGCCCACGAAAAATCGGCCGCTTTATCGGATTTACACCGATATATCGGGAAAAATCGGCCCAAAACTATATGCGATATATTTTTGCAAAAAATCGTATCGGCCATAGCCCATCCTATATATCGGGGATAAATCGATAAAATCGGTCTATATTTAAAACATTGCCTTTGGCGCTCACGAGAATTGAACCCAAGCCCCCCCACGAGGGAGCGATACGGCTTTGCCATGTGACCTACTGGGCCTATGTTATAGATTATCAAATGATGTAATTTAGGACTCATGAGTCGGATAAAATCTTATGATTATTCTTTAGATACTTGATGGTCACATTCTTATTTTGTTATTCACATTTAGAGATTTGTAGATTCATGTTGCTTCTACATGGATTCATGTTATATATCCTTTTATATAATGTTTATGCTTGTTCAAATATCTGTATCTTTTAATATGCCACAAGCTTTTAACATTGTTCCCACTACTACCATTGTGCAGATTTCATAATAAAAGTGCATGCATGCTAGAACTTCGAGCGCACTAAATTACCTTGTTTAGTTGTAGAGTATGATTGGCTCATTTGTTTCTTGTTATTAACAGTGTTTTCAAAGGCGCGCGCCTCATTGCGCCTTATGCGCCTTACGATGCGGGGCGGTGGCGAAGCGCCCCACATCTGATGCAGCAGCGCCTTTTGCGCCTCGCGTACATCTGTACTTTGTGTAGGATGCATGTAGTACATTTCTTCATATAGTTTTGTTTGTTAACATTTTAATCGAGTCTTTATACTTGATATTTCATATCCCAAAAGGAAAAATAAATCCAATAGGCTTTTTTAATAACCTTCAATTGAGGACCATTACTAATCCTTAGTTTGGATATGTCTTGATTTAACATTTGATTTGAAAATTTATGAAATTTGCTACTATGTTGGGTGTTAGCATTAGAAATTAAGGCAATATATTGTAAGTTTGTAGCAAGATATTATTTATCATGATATTTTTCATGTAAATTCTAAAAACATGTTTTTTCGCGCTTGATTACATATATTGAAATATTATGTGTGTGGTGTGCGCCTCGCATCACTCAGGCGCGCGCATAGCGTTACGCCTTGCGCATGTGCGCGTAAAGATATTTTGCGCGCCGTATTGCGCCTCGCGCATTGAAAACACTGGTTATTAAAGTGATGAAAATATCTTGTTAGACCATAGATTGTTGGCCTATGTTGCTTATTACTCCAGAGTCATGATAGGGAGATAAGTTGCAAGGCTATGACTAGTGTATGCGTCCGCTAGCTATGAGTTGAGGTGCTTTGTGGCTTTATTATATGTGAGGTTTGTAGGTTATACTACAACTAATCCTCAAATTTATTTTATTCATTGTAAAGAGATATATCTAGGTATATTCTATGTAATATTAATTAGAAAGGATAATATTTTATTTTGACAAGTAATAGATAAATTCTTTCTAATAGATATTTTCGTAATAAGAATTTTTAAGAAAAGCAAATTTTAATTTAGTGCTAAATTTTTGATATATTCTACAAGTGACGATTATGTTTATCAAAATAAATATGAAGTTAAATTCCTTATTACTGAAATTTGTTTTCTAGTAGCATACTTTCCTAAGAACTATGATGTGCCTAGGGTTTTGGCCAAAAGCAAATGTTGTTCAACAAGATTTTTTTTTTTTGAAATTTTAAAATATATTTGTAAACAAATCTATCTTTTTATAATAATAAATCCCTTGTTTTCAAGTTTCAACTTAGTTTTCGAAGCAAAGCTCTAAAAAATATACATATTTATCTATCTTTCCATAACAAAAACCACTACTTTTTTCCCCAAATTGAATACGTTTGTTGTCAAGTCACTCAGATTAGTCATCCTAGTACTCTTTCAATGGTGAATTACTCTTTGATACCCCTCTAAACAAGGGTTGTTCTAGATGGACTAGGAAGCAAATATCTCCTCCCCACATGCTCAACTGCAGACTTACTCATCCAACCTTGACTTTACTTCAGTAGACTCTTATCTAGTTAATCCTTCACAATTTTATAACCAAGCCGAGTCCATAGTTTCCCTTAGTTGTAAACCAAAACTCAGTTTAGACTAGAACCCAGTCTAAGCTAAACCAGACCCAGTCTGGTTCAGCTCAGTCCAAACCAGAATAGGATAGACCAGATCAGACCAGAACCTAGGTTAGTTCAGTCTAGTCCAGACTAAACCAAACTAAACAAAACCAGGTCAAACCTGTCTTGAATCCAACCGAGTCCAATTTAAGTCTAACTCGAGTCTTTTTCAGTCTCAAATTACTTAAGCTAGTGTTTCTTGAATATCTGTGCACTTTAAATTAATAACCAAATTCTATGGTTAATGCATGTATCGTGATGATTGCTTATGTTGTGATTGATATTGTTCTAATAGATAATAGATTATGTTTGACATATGAACAAACTCTTACTTGATCCCATAGCGAACTTCACTTGGTAGATTGTGCATGAATACGTATCCCATTAAGATGTGGATTCTAATCGTGACCTTATATTGCATGGATTATTGACTTGTACATGTTCTTGATCATGTTTAAAGTTCATGTTTTGTTTTTACGGGATACCGTACCATAGGGATTCAAGTTCCTAAATTGGCAAAATCATCCTGATATTGTTTATGAAAATTACTTGAAACAATTATGATTAATGTAGAAACATTTCATGCTCAGTCGAAAATTTAAAATGATATCATGGGTTCAAATAACGGGGAGAATGAAGGCTTTGATGTATATAAGTGGTACTTTTGTTATCCGAATATTCATGTTTCAAGATCATGTTTAAGGAGGCCAAGTGTCATAACGACTATCATGTTGCCGTATTCCTAGGGCCCTACGGGAAGCCGCCTTATATACAAGGAAGTTTCTTTCTCTATTTCAAATAACATAAGGTAAAATGTCTTGCATGTGTGATTGTGACAATAAATGACTTGATAGTTGTAGATAGTATTTGTAGTTTAACTACTTTTACTTTTGAAGTACCTACATGTTTTATTAATACATTTCTACATATTAGTAGTAAATTTAAAAAAAAATTATGTGTTTTATATGGGTATTTACTTCAAGCACTTGCACATGCACTTTTCCTTTATTTTATACGCTTGTTAGGAGTTTTCTGACTTCCCTGGGGGTTTGTTTACCCTAGATAGGGGAATTGGAATTGATTTTTCTCAGCAGGACAAAGAGTATTTCCAGGTGCAAGCTCAGAGGTAATGATTACAGTCCTTGATATTTCAAATGTATACATGCTCTGTAGATAGATTTTTCTGGAAAAATTATAAGCATGATTTTTCCAGAGACGTGAATACAACCATAAAGAGGAAAAAAATTTATAGTTGTATTGTCGGCCGAGTCACACCAATATAATTACATTTGTTTGGAACCAGGGCGTGATAGGTATGGGTTAGTATTGTTGGTGATTTTGTTGTCTCTTGAAATTTAACTGTACATCATATTCATGAAATGACAAGCTTTTTTCTTGAAATCATATTACGCTTCTCTTCTTCATATGTTTTTTTTTCTTTTGACAAGATTCTGATATGCTTTTATTCGTGTTTTCTTGTGAATGTACAATATCTAATATCATGTCAAGGTTGAAAAAGCCGTTTACTTTGGCAAGAAGTCATCATTTAGCTGGCTGTCTTGACTTTAACAGAAGTTAATAGTTCCTTGGATAACATGCAGCATTTTCCAACTATCCACTAGCTCTCTTAAAAGTGAAGTAAGAGAGAGTTTTGCAAGCCTTGTTCCACTAATCACCTTATGATTATGCTCGCTTATTTAACTTCTTTCTAAATGCGGGCTCATTTTTCTTCTTTGAGTACATTGATTATTAAGTTATGAAAAAGCGAACTGAGAGAATGACTGACACCAATAAATTAAATACAGTTTCCTACTAATGTGACTTTGATGCTAAGTTAGATTTTGATGAGCTGTTTGGGCTTGAGAACTAATTGAGTTGTCCTGAAACTGAACAAGTGTGCCTTTAACCTCACTTAGAGTGAAAGACACTTGAACTTGGTTTCAAAAAAGGGATAAAGAAAAAGTCATTAACCGCACAAAGTGTTCTGAAAGATTGAGAAAAACAGCTGAAAAGCACAGATATAAATAGACATATTGATGCATTTAGACTGTCAGTTTCCTTCTTGAGAACTTATGATGAAAAACAAGTCCAATATAGCAGTCCCTCCCTACTTTCTTTGGATATGGCATCTCATTCTATTGGGCATAAGTAAGAATTTTACTTTCAGTTTTATGTATTCACATAATATGCATCATACCCATTATTGTTTGAGCTAATTTTTAGTTTAACATCATGAAAGTCCAATGCTTTGGACCTCCTTTCTGAATTACTGTATTTACGTCGTAAAATTCGGGCTACATAAGCTTGTCCTTTTTTCCCTTCTTTTCAAACATTTTAGAAAAACCAATTGTTCCTGACTTTCTATACTGATGAAGTTGGCCAAGAAAACTGTTACTGAAAAAAAAAGTACAGATATTTCTTATGCTAATATTTTCTACAGAGGAATTGCTTGAACCATATTAAGTATGAGATTTCTCTACAAAGTACTGGAAGTGTTTGCTCCGTTTCTATCATTGTATCTTTTCTTTTCAACAGGTAACATTGTCGAGGGGCACTTTGTCACGCTCCAGATTGTTAACAAATGCCCTTTTCCGATATGGCCAGCAACTGCTCCCAATGCCGGCCATCCGGTGATAGCCTCTGGTGGCTTTTTCCTTCCCTCTGGCCAAGCGAAGGTGATTCAGGCACCCGCAACTTGGAGTGGTCGTTTATGGGCGAGAACAGATTGTAATTTTCGGTCTAACTTCAACTGTGCTTGCAAAACTGGTGACTGTCAAGGTTTGCTTTCGTGTAACGGAGCTATCGGTCTACCCCCTGCAACCCTTGTGGAGGTATTTTGATATATTGAATACTGAGAATTGGATAAAATCTCTCATCTTTTGATTTAGAGAGGACATATTCTGTGTATATATACACGAAGGAAGTATGCATATTTGTTATCACCATAGAGAATACGCAATCTGTCTAAGAAAAGTAACTTGAAAAGATAAACTCCATATGTTTTGGAAATATATCAAATATTAAGTACTATTAACCTTTACTTACCATAAGAAGAAAGCAAACAAATTGGAATTAGTCTAATGTAACACGCAACTGTCTTCAACGAAGTCATCCTTAGATGCTCCCACGGTTTCAATTTCATTACTCGCGGTAGAACCGTCTCCTTGGTCAGATAATGATTAATGAGTTACTATTATCTTAAATCTTTAAAGTCTTGCGATTACAGTTAGCATATGCAGTCATGCATGGAATCGAAAATTCACGATGAGTACGTGAAATGCTAAAGATTTATTTCTACATGATGAAAATCTTGGTAGTTTACTATGAATTTAACTCCGTCTCTTCCATGAATTTTGTTGAATGTACAAACTTGAAAATTCTCGATGATGAAATCGTCCACGGACGCGGCCCCTGATCTTGATGTCTCTGCTACTGCAACTGCCATCATGAAGAGTTGGTCAAAGAAACCAGAGATCAGATTTTTTTTTCTTTTTCAATTTTTTTTTTTGAATTTTTTGTCCCCTTATTTTTTTTCTCCTTCTTTCTCAATTCCTTGAGAAAGAGGGCAAACGTGGAAAAAGAAAAGTGAGCATGAAATGATGAGAAGTGGCCGCTTACTCTCCAAAATATCCCTAAACCCGAAACCAACAAATCCCCAGCTAATATAGGGTACAGTCTCTTTAAAAAAATAAAGCTATTATTGGGGGGTAAAAATGAAAAACAAAACTTTCATAGAGGGTCCTAGGAAAAAGAGCTAACAAAGGAAAAATATTATTATAAGAAAGGAAAACTGTCTAAATATTACTATATTTGACATATTTCCTACAGATATCATAGATTGTTAAGTCTTGCGAAAATAAAACTATAAGAAGGAGAAAATAGCTAATGTGTAATATCTAGCTTTACATAACGTACGTTCTTTAGTTTGTCATCAGATACGATCAGATCTCGACTGTGCAGGTTTCATTACAAGAAGGCAAGCCCAGCTTTTACGACATCAGCATCGTAGATGGATATAACCTACCGATATCGGTCTCAACCAAGCCATTTGACTCCAAGTGTTTGATTAAAGGCTGCATCAAAGACATCAATGCATTATGCCCCCAGGAGCTCCAGCTTCTGGATGAAGACGATAACGCGGTCATCGCCTGCAAAAGCGCGTGCTTGGCGTTCAATTTGGACGTGTTTTGCTGCAGAAATGAATATGGGAAGCCTGAAAGTTGCAGGCCAAGCTTGTATTCAGACATGTTTAAAGATGCTTGCCCTTCGTACGTCAGCTATGCTTATGACTCTCCACCGCCCCTCGTGTCCTGCAGTTGTAAGGATTTTGTTGTGACTTTCTGCCCCTCCAGTAAGTGGGGCAGTGATCTGTCCATGTAGGGAAGTTGAAAATGTAATGATCATGACCGTAGAGCATGAAGGCTAGCTATAGAAAATGTGATATTGAACATGCTGATATATGCTTAAATAACTTTTTGGTCTAATAAACATGCTTACTTAGTAGAAAATCTCTTTCCTTAATTTCTCTCTTGTTAGATAGCAGGTTCCTAATATGTTTTCTAATTTGTTTTGGTAACAGGATTCCAAATCTATTTTGGTAACATGTTATTAGGATTCCTAATCTGTTTTGTTTTTTGTTTTAGAATTCCTAGGGCTAAATACCCATATTGGTATTTTATTTCAACCTCATTTGCCAAGAAGGTATTTTAATTAAAAAAATCGGCGTTAAGGTATTTTAATTGAATGAAATTACCAATTAGGTCTTTTTCCTTGTCGGCGACCACTTTTCCGGCGACCCCCTCTGCCCCAGCCACCCAAGCTCCGTCACCAAGCTCCAGATCCAACCGCCGCTGCCTTCCTTCTCGTCTCCAACAGCCAGCGCCTCTCTCCCTCGTCGTCAACCCCGACGAGCCCCACACCCGCCATCACCGCCTCCACCCCCCCCCCCTTCCATGCTTGCAGACCAGCCCCACGATCATCTCAGGCCAGCCCCTCCACCTTGCCACTCTCCCTTGTCCCGCTGCCTCCTTCACCATCACCGAGCTCTGACGACAGCAACCCCATTCTCCTCCCCTTTCTGTCCACGGCGAGCCCGACTTCAACACCTCCATCTCCTCCTCTTCCCTCCACTCCCCGCCTTCATCCCCCAGACCCTCCCTCTTCCTCTCTTTGTCGAGCTTCCCCACGCCAAACTTGTTGCTGCTCAAGTTCCCGCCGACCAGCCCAACTCCGAGCTTCCCTTCGCCCTCAACTTGAGACCCGACCACCTCCTACCACCGTCAGTCGTCGCCGTCCTCTCTTCCCCGTCGGAGACCACCGACGCTATGCTGCCGCTCCAAGCTCCGCTCAAAGAACTCCCCGCCGTCGCCGAGTTCACCCCGAGTCCCAGCTAAGATCCGCGTTGGTCAGAAAACAGTGCCACATCAACAGCTTAAACACAGATTAAGCCACCGCGTGCAACGCACATGACGAGTTCTTGCCGAAAAAGTGGTCGCCGACGAGGAAAAAAACCTAATTAGTAATTTTATTCAATTAAAATGCCTTAACACCGATTTTTTTAATTAAAATACATTCTTGGCAAATGAGATTGAAATAAAATACCAATATGGGTATTTAGCCGAATTCCTAGTATGTTTTTTGTTTTAGAATTTCTATATATATGGAACGATTGGAAGAGAGAATTGAGTAGCGAAGGGGATATTTGGAGCACAGAAAAGAGGTATTTTCTGAGCTATTGGTTAGGGTTTTGTTTGGAGAAAGTTAGAGCTTTGTTGGTGAGATTAATTGGTGACTTTGTGTAATTTTGTAATCTTAGTTTGTACTCTTCTTCTCTATTAGTGAAAACCCCATCCCCTTCTTGTCCCGTGGACGTAGGCAACTTGCCGAACCACGTTAAAATTGGTTGTTTGAGTTTGTGTCGTTATTTTACATTGTTTGGCCTTCTCTCGACGTTTGTTTGATTTGGTCTCTCGAAGCACATCAGTTTGGTTTTAGCTTCCACCGCGCACAACAAGTAGTATCAGAGCTTGGACTATGCTTGGGCTATTTGGAGGAGTAGATCGTTTTGGAGGCTCATCTAGGGCTTCGTTTGGTGATAAAAATGGGATCTTTTTGGTAAAGACTCTATCTTTTTTTAATTTTGGATCCATTCTTCATTTGTTCTGCTTTGGTTAGTTGGTGCTTTGAGAAAGATGGTCGAAAAAGAAGGAGTTGTGGAGGATACTTCCGGTGTGAAGATCGTCCAAAGTTTGAATATCCACTCTACGAAGATAGATGTGGAGAAGTTTAATGGCACAAACAATTTTGATTTTTGGAGATGTGGTGTCTTGGATGCGCTCAACACGTAAAATTTAAAAGATACATTGGAGTTAGATGGGAAACCAGACGACATCGATGAGAAGGTTTGGAAGAACATGAATAGAACAGCGTGTGGTGTGATTAGATATTGTTTAACTCAATATCTGAAATATGATGTGATCAATGAGACTTCGGCTAAGAAGATTTGAGAGATCCTTAAGAGCAAGCGTTTGACCAAGATTGTAAAGAACCACTTGCATTTGAAGAGGAAGCTTTATCGCTTCCAATTGAAGAAATGAACCTTCATTGGTGATCACATAAACTACTACACAAAGCTTCTTTTGGATTTGGCGAATGTAGATGTGATGATTGAAGATGAGGACAAGACGTTGTTATTGTTGAGTTCCTTGCCCGACGAGGAATATGAGATCTTCGTTCTTACTCTTATTAATGGAAAGAAATCTCTTTCGTATAGTGAGGTCACTGCTATACTTGTGAATTATCAGCTTCGAAAGAAGGATAATGAAACTTCAGTTGAGCCGATAGCGGGGGCATTGGTCGTAAGAGCAAAGAGTCCAAACCGAAATAGAAGGTCGTAGTGTGGAGGGGCACATCCTGGAGTTCGTAGGAATCAATGTGCCTTTTGTAGAGAGGATGGACATTGGAAAGCCGAATGCCCAAAGTTGGTTGATCGAGCCGGAAAGAATAAGGAGAAAGCTATTCAATCTTTAGAGGTGAATGTTGTCAATGCTAGTGGCGACAATTTAGATTCGGCTTCTTCGGGCTATTCATTAGCACTACTGTCAGTTTGTGTTGCCGACTCTATAGAGTGGATATTGGATTCGAGTGCTTCTTACCATATTTGTCCTAGGAGGGATTGGTTCTTCAGTTTTTAGGAGTTGGAAAGAGAGGATGTCGTGCTCATGGGTAATAATCATGAATGACCTATTAATAGTATCGGTATCGTTCGTATTTGGATGTGTGACAGAGTAATTCAGGAGTTGGATGAAGTGAGGTTCGTTCCTCAGTTGAAGAAGAACATCATTTCACTTGGAGTTTTGGAGGCAGTAGGCTATCGGGTGACCTTAGTGGATGCATCTTTGAAGGTCATATTTGGGTCTATGATTGTGATGAAGGGCGTCGGGAAGAAGAATTTGTATTATTTGATTAGGAGCATGGTGTTTGATAGAGAGCTGATGACTTCTTTGGATTTGGATAGACTGTGGCGATTGTTGAGGCTGGGATATTTGATTGGTTATGTCGTGCATGGTTTGTTGATGAGTGCTTTGACCTGTAGATTGAAGTCCTTTGAGCATATTGATATGACCAAGAAGACCGATGTGGAGTTTAACACTTCTATCCATCGATCGAGGGGTCTTTTAGGTGGTGTTTATTCAGGTATTTGGGGGCCTTCTAAGGAGGCATCATTGGGAGGTAATCGGTATTTGATTTCTACAGTTGAGGATTGTTTTAGGCATTGGTGGGTTGCAACCAAGTCCTGTTGGTGTGAAGTCTTAGAAGTCAACAACAGATGGAGGAAGTGTGTTGGTAGAAAGGTAACCCGTCGTTCTGTTTTTTGTAGGGGTTCTTTCTTGTATTTGTACCGAGCTCATGGTAGTTTGAGACACTTCATTGGAGAGGAGACATTGGGGCGACAAGATGAGATGATAGTTTTGATGGATCGTTCCTTGCTGGAGGAGGATCGATGTTGGTTATCGAGCATTAGATTACAGAGGAGTTTTGGAGCTTCGATATATTTTGGTCATCTTAGTCATAGGTTGTCAACTGCTGTGTTTAGAGTTATTGAATCTGGTGGAGTTGCTTCATATTTTGGGTTGGGTCAAATGTTTGGTTACCCAGTATTTGGTCACATCGAGGATGTGAGATTTGATCCGATTGCACGTTTGGGATTCAGATGCTCGTTTGGTTATCAGTAGGGAGACTCTGATTTGGTTCTGAGCAAGTATGTCACTTTTGACTCTTGGCAGGTGGGGAGTGTTGATCAGATCATTAGAATATCGCAACGGGTGGAGGATGATACTACTTCACATTGAGTGAAGATTACTCCATATACTCCAGATCATACTGCATCGTTTGGGATTCTAGCTTGGGTGACACAGTTTGGGGATCATGTTGATTTGGATGCAGATGATGAGTTGGTTGATTCGAGTGCAGATGGTGGACATAGTTTAGATTTGGATATGGCTGTTGATTCACATCAGGTGAAGGTGTTTGGTTTGTTTCACTTTGGGGCCATTGGGAGAGCTATCAGCCACAGATTTATTGGTGAAGAGTTGAGAACTCTTCTATTGGATTGAGGGTCTTTGGAGTCCATTTGGTGAACTGCGTGAAGGCTTGATTCGTTGGGCAAAAGGATACGTAAGCAGTCATTTATGATGCATCCGGTTTGGTGAGTTGATACCGACATTTAGAGTTTGCATTCTCATTTGGGTTCTCGACTTATTGTGGATTGAATCTGTTGTTGTGGATTTGTTCCATTTCGTACTAGACGCAATAAGTGAGACGTTTGGTTGGTATTGATGTCGGCTCAGTTTTGGGAAAACTTCACTGATATGAAGAATTATTGGATAGCAGGTTCCTAATATATTTTCTAATTGGTTTTGGTAACAGGTTATTAGGATTCCTAATTTGTTTTGGTAATAGGATTCCAAATCTGTTTTGGTAATAGGTTATTAGGATTCCTAATCTGTTTTGTTGTTTATTTTAAATTCCTAGTATGTTTTTTGTTTTAGAATTTCTATATATATGGAACGATTGGAAGAGAGAATTGAGTAGCGAAGGGGATATTTGGAGCACAGAAAAGAGGTATTTTCTAAGCTATTGGTTAGGGTTTTGTTTGGAGAAAGTTAGAGCTTTGTTGGTGAGATTAATTGGTAAGTTTGTGTAATTTTGTAATATCAGTTTGTACTCTTCTTCTCTATTAGTAAAAATTTCATCCCATTCTTACCCCGTGGACGTAGGTAACTTGCCGAACCACGTTAAAATTGGTTGTTTGAGTTTGTGTCGTTATTCTTTATTGTTTGGCATTCTCATAGTGTTTGTTTCATTTGGTCTCTCGAAGCACATCAGTTTGTTTTGACTTCTTCCGCGCATAACATCTCTCACCTCTCTCTTTCTCCTTATCTCCTCTCCCACCTCAAATTTTGGAGTTTGGATGCAGAAGGTGAAAAGAGGAG